AAACGTGTGGGGGGGGGGCTTTAGGATGTGAGGTCGGGGGGAAGGAGGTTGTTTTGATTTTGTTCTGTGTTTTTGGGCTTGGATGTAGTGTTGGGAGGTGCTTTGTGTTTCGGGTTGTGTTATGGATTATTGTGTGGGATTTGGGCGGTGCTTCGGATTTTGTTTTGTGCTTTGGGGTTTGGTGTTGTGTTGGGAGGTGCTTTGTGTTTTGGATTGTATTTGGGATTTCGCTATGGGAATTGGGAGGTGCTTTGTGTTTTGGATTGTATTTGGGATTTCGACTTAGGTTTTGGGAAGTGCTTTGTGTTTTCTAGGTTTTTGAGGTTGATTCTAGGGGGCGGGTTGAGAAATGGGGTAAAAGTGCAGGGGGGGGGTCAGGATGTGAGGTCGGGGGTTAGCCTCTGCTTGCTCTAAGGGCCCTAAGGGCTCCCTAGCCGGCCCTACCCGCTTGCAGGCAGAGCCTAGATGTCCGCGCTCTCTCTGCAGGTGCCTGCTTCCCAACCCGCAGACTCGTGCGTAGGTCGTTCTGCTTTGTAGTTTAGTGGACTTCCGAAATAGCTAAGCTTTGCCTCCCGTGTTCAAGGCCTTGGAGCATGTGCTGCTGGAGCCAGATGGCAGGTCTTCGATTCGGAAGGTTGTGACCAGTATTGCCAGAACTTGTTTTGTCAAAATGGGGGTACAGGGAGGATTCAGGGCCTTGGGCTTAGGCGGCTCTTGCCAGGAACGCTTACGCACTACCCCTTTCCTTGCATTCTGAGCAGGAGACTCTCTGCATCTTGAGCTTTTTGAAGGACACTGGCCTGGGTCTGCCGGGTGCTCGGTGTTGCTGCATTCCCTGGTGGCTTCACAACCTCGCGATAAGAATCGCATACCACTTAAACCCTGAACCCGAACACCTAAACTCGAAAGCCTCTAAATGCAGTGTAGTTGAGAGTTACGGAGAAACTCCCAACTACTCTGCATTTAGAGGATTCTGGAGAGCGTCTACAGCCCGACAACCCCAAGTCTCCCAGGCCAAACGAAGTCGGACGCAGTGCAGCCATTGCAGCACTCGTCCGTGCAGATCGCTGGCAGCAGGCCTTTTGAGAAAGTCTTGCTAGCGTTCGACCCCTGGTATGATGATATGTGATGCAAAAAGATGTTTGGGCGAGGCATCAGTCCTTGTCACCCGACAGCAGTCAGTGCTGAGAGTTCTCGCCTTATTGTACGCAGACGACATCCGCCGAAACAGTCGGTGAACACAGATGCTTCACAGATAGAGCATCATGGCTTTGAGCGGGAGATTGCTCTTGGCACAGATCTTGGGGCAACATCGGTTCAGCGTTGTGAGTATTCAGAGCAAAATCATTTCCAGAGCGACCTCGTCCTGAGAGTCTCTTCAATTGGTGAAAGCTTCTTCCGAGCGGTGTTTCCGTTCAGTCCTTTTTCGCAGTTGATTCTTATATGAATTACAATAGAATGAGTATTCTTCTTATTACTATTTCTATTATTTTTATTTTTATACTTATTATTCTTCTTATTGTCGTGTGCAGGCCCTCGTCTTGCATGTCATCTTCGAGTCAGAGCTGGAGGCCCGGAGCTTCGACCCAGGGCTGACCGCCTCCTTGGTGGCCCTGAGCTTGACGTTAGGTTCCAGGCCTCCGCCGTACTTGGAGGTTCATGGGTAGTTATAAGTAGGGTTATAAACTTTTGATATAGCCTATATATTAGGAGACTTATAACTCCCACTTATAACTACCCTTGAACCTCCAAGTAGATTCTCTGGCCTTGCTCCTGTTGCGACTTTTTGTGGCAGCGTCGTTTTGCTCGTGCAGTCCGCTGACCCCGTCTCCATCGGGGCAGCCATCAATGCCTGCGCCGAAGGACCGGCGCATGGAGACTTCCGACAGCTTCGCAGGATTTTAGCCATGCCGCTGCAGGATCTCACTGGCAAGGGGCGCTCTCTTTGCTGGACCAACTTCTCGACTTGCATGCTCTGAAACAGGACCGGCACCGTTTGAACGGAGTCCCGAATGCAGTTACAGTGTATGATACCCCGTACCCCACATTCCTTTTCTAGTTATTGTGGCCCCCATATTGGCGGCGGCCAAGGGTGACAGCTACACCTGGCTTTAAGTTCATGCTGTTTTTGCAGGCAATAAACCAAGCATAGAAGCATGACATTGATTTCATTCATCAGACTTGGGGATGTTGTGCGTGGGCATCTAGGGGACACGCAAGTGCATGCCAAGCGATTGCACATCGTCTTGCAGGAACGAGAGGTGCATTCTCCTCGCACAGTGCAGGTGTGCAACCTGGTTGCATACATGGACGTACTCAACTAGGGGGATGCATGGGCTTCGATTGTCATTCCAGTTGAGGACAGTGTTTCTCGATGGCTGTCTGCAAGACCCCCGTGCGTTTGAAGCCTGGCGCTTAAGCCAGTGCTTAAGCCAACCCTAAACCCATAAACACGAAACCCCACTTAGACTTGAGACCCGAGATAATCCACACGACTTGTGCGAACCGCTGCGGAAAGCACCAGCTGCTCGAGAGTGTGACAGCAAGGAAATACTGCTCCTGCTACTACGACGACGACGACTACTACTACTGCTGCTACGACTACTGCTATCAACAACAGTGAATGCTGCTCCTCAGTTAGTTAGATGTATTGCCACCATGTCAAGGTCGCAATGCCGCAATCACAGCGACTGGGCGTGCCTCTCGCCACTCGGATGAGCAAGCAAGGCAGCAGATTTCTGACCCGAGCAGTACCATCACTCCTAATGTTTAATGTTGCAGCAGCATGCGGCAGGTCTTCTTGTTTTTTTGAGATCATCAGTCTGAAAATGTGCAGCTAGTGCCCAGAACCTCAAACTGCGTGGCCTGGAGAGCGGGGTATGTGTGTGACGCCACTACATTTTACTGTCCCGGAGGAGAAGCAGGAGCAGTGTTTCTAGCTAGGATTCGGCAGGGGCAGGGGAGCTTGCAATGCACCCGCGAGTGGATCAAACTGGCGTCCTGCCGCAGCAGTGGTACAGTTTCAATCCGAAGAAAAGCATCAGTCTACTGATCCTAGGCCCCCCCAATTATAGGGATCCTTTAGAGCCCAGAAGGAGTCTTTTTGAACCCGTAGAGGCCGTGTAAGCCGTATCCAAGGACCCGCAACCCCAAGATCCCACCTGACACCCTGTAAGACCCCAACCTCTAAAACTCTAAACCCTATAAATACCACAAAGTCCCTAAAATCCGAGCAGAACTCAAGAAACCGGGATGGGCCCGAAAAAAACACACCGAGTAGAAATTGAAACAGCATCTCCAGAAAGCCTTATAACAAAAGTCTGCTGTGTAAATCCCTGCGCATTCCTAAACCGAAACCCTACTTGGAGGTTCATGGGTAGTTATAAGTGGAATCATAAGTCCCCTGAAATAGGTTATAACTATAGTTATCCTAC